GATGCTGAAGTGAAAAAATGCTAATGGTTTATAAATTAACTCGGGCTGTTCATAATGATGTTTCATCATAGGTATAGCATGCTGACGGTTACATCAGCTGTCGACTATATCATAGCTACTGTTACTAATGGAAAACGTACTAGTACCTTATTTGTATCTAATGTGTGACGTCACTGAGGGATTTCTATTCGAAGAGATGATTGATACATGGTTATTATACAAACAGTAATGACACGTGATGTAAGATATAAGCATGTTTTTGATGGTGATGGGAATGAAATGGACACAGTATGAAGGATAGCAATCAAGCATATAAAACTCCTTATTTCGCTATTGCACTGTCTTTCAAATCGCCGTCTGTCTTTCTAACAACAATTATGACCGTACGTCTGACCACTTTGTCTAATCTTAGGACAATTATGTCCGTACGTCTGACCACTTGGTCAAATCTAACGACAATTATGTCGAATCACCTGACCACTTTGTCTAATCTAAGGACAATCATGTCCATACGTCTGACCTCAGTGTCTTCTCTAAGACAATTATGTCCATACATCTGACTGCAGTGTGTAATCTTAAGACAATTATGTCCATACATCTGACCGCAGTGTGTAATTTTAAGACAATTATGTCCATACATCTGACCGCAGTGTGTAATCTTAAGACAATTATGTCCATACATCTGACTGCAGTGTGTAATCTTAAGACAATTACGTCCATACGTCTGACCATAGTGCCTATCTTAGACAATAACTTCCATAAGTCTTACCGCAGTGTCTAATCTTAAAGCAATTATTTTCATGTGTCTGGCCGCTGTGTCTAACGATAATTATGTGCCTGTGTCGGGCCTGTACGTCTTAGCATCTTGTGGACTTCCTATCTATGTATCTAGTCCACGTGGACTTCTATATATAGCTAACTAAAAACTTTATCTACGATCGTTTAAAATGAATACCTCGGTTACATGGATTTATTATATATAAACCGGCATAATATTTCATAAGTAATTCTCCGGGGACGACTTTTACGAATGATATCATTCAGCTAGGCTTTTAATGAGACCGTGATCTACCGAAGCATATCTTACTGTTAAATTGATATCGCTAGCGTGACTAGGTTTAATATTTGCCGTCATACCCTATTCGTCGACAATAATTATTAATCTTTTTTATTCTTTAAAGTACCATTCATCCATCAACACGATGTTTTGCCAAAGTAATTTGTTGTCAGGTGATAAATTAAACACTTTGTTCCAATACTAATATAATCAGACGTATGTTTTGACTCCTAATGATATGAAGGTTATAATGTGACTATAATATTGATCCGCTATTCATGGTATAGCTAACTTTATCTTCACTTTGGTGTCCGACCTTATAATGACGTCACTTGACCTCATGTAGTCCCTATTTCTACCCTTAACATGGCTATCCTTACCTTTCTGTCCGTCCTAATGCATACGTCACGTGACCACCATAATGATTTACCTGTGTGTCTGTCCTAATGCTGAGGTCACGTTATCTACATAATGATTTGCCTTTGAGTCTGTCCTAATGCTGACGTCACGTAACCTCCATATTGATTTACCTTTGTGTCTGTCTTAATGTTGACGTCACGTAACCTCAATATTGTTTTATCTACCTTTGTGTCTGTCCTAATGCTGATGTCATATTATCTCCATATTGATTTACCTTTGTGTCTGTCTTGTCTTAATGTTGACGTCACATAACCTTCATATTGATTCATCTACCTTTGTGTTTGTCCTAATGCTGACGTCACGTAACCTCAATATTGTTTTATCTACCTTGGTGTCCGTCCTGATGCTGACGTCACGTAACCTTCATATTGATTCATCTACCTTTGTGTTTGTCCTAATGCTGACGTCACGTAACCTCAATATTGATTTATCTACCTTTGTGTCTGTCCTAATACTGACGTCACGTAACCTCCACATTGATTTATCTACCTTTGTGTCCGTCCTGTTACTGACGAATCGTTATCTCCAAATTGATTTACCTTTATGTATGTCATAATGCTGATATCACGTGACCTTTACTTGGAGTCTCTACTCCTTATGTGACATAACATGACCTCAACCTAAGGTTACGCAGGCCAAACGCTTTAACCGACTGAGCACTAATGCGGCCCCTTGATGTTAAGTAAAACGCTGAAGTAAAGGATACAACATATACAACAAACTTCTGAAGTGGTACAGATATGAAAGCTCTATCTCTCAATAGTTATTGTCAATGTTAATATTTTTCACATTTAGGTCAAAGGTCACGATCAAGATCACATGGTCAAAATTTCAGAAATTTGGAAAGGTCTTGTCACAAGAAACACACATGCCAAACATGGAATCCCAAAAGTTATGAGCAAGGTGAAAGATTACAACAGACAAACAAGCAGACAGACGGACCAACAAGTAGACAGACAAATAAACAGACAGACAAACAAACAAACAAACAAACAGACAGTACAAAACCAATATGCTGCTGATCTTTCGATCGGGGCACATAAAATAGGGAGACAACACATGTAGCTCATATAACACCAGTTCAAATTTTACAAAGAAAGACAACGATCCGACATTCCAAACCTTTGTCCGTTTGTGTTTTTCAGAAAGCTTAGAAACGGGCTGGTCTAAACTCATGTGGTTGTGTCCTTGGGGGATACTTTACAATAATTAATCTGGATAGCAAGCGACGAGCCTCCGGTATGTTGTCCAGTGAGATAATCACCAACTTTTATTTCCACCTCAAAATTACTCTGACTGTTCACGGAGAAACAAACTAACAAACCAACCTTAACTACGTCATAGGTCACAATGTCGATATTTCAATTTTAACTAACACGTGATCGTTTTCCAGTTTCCGTTTGGTATTTTATCAACGACGTAGTCATGGCTTCATAAACATAATCCTGGTGATATATGGTGTCAACTTAAATACGATACAGTGTTTTACACTGTTAATCATGTATGTATTATTAATTTGTCTCTCCAGGGATGTTGTTTGATAGTTTGCTGTTACTAAGGTGTAGAAAACTGATTGGGCGTTATTTACCTGTGACGACTTAAGGTGACAGGGACTATAGAACTTGTCATTATATATTTAGTGTAGAGGTCTTTTTTACATTCCATAAATCCAGAATGTTAGAAAAAAAAAACGCCGTCATAATAATTGTTATGTTTCAGACACTGTTCTGCTTACTATTACACATATTAACTATTCTGTTTAGATCTAGAAGCCGCTCTATCAGTATTTGCTACACATAAAACCTGTTCTTTTCTCTATCTTCTGAAGACCATAGTTAGTGTTGCCTTTCGTATCATCTCTTTTCCATTATTCGTCCGATTGTCTACCCCGCTCTTGCATTTTAAAATATGTATGGTTTGATTTATATCTATAAACCATTAAACGATACGTGATTTGGATGATTCCAAGATGATAAACACTTAATCACCTAATTATAATTCACAATGACGTTATAAATCTGTCAGATAAGTTACTGTGTATAACACATGTACACCATCCGTATCAGAATCAGATATATATTACCTCGGAATATATAAATTACACACAGCGTAAAATAAAAAAAAAACCGGAAGTGTATTTTTAATGACTTATCGACCGAGTTACTACGTTAATGAAACGGCTTGACGTAGCATTGTACGGAACCAAAATACTCTTTAAAAAATCGAAAATAAGCCTGACTCATAATTAAGATTTTCTTGGAAATATATCTGTATTTGCTTACTATTAAAAAAAATAAACTGTATCTTAGGGTCGATTGTAGATGGATGGGTTTGTAACATGTAGCAGACTAGGTTATTAATCCCGAGGAGAACAGTTTACCGACAGCAGCGAAGCGTTACTACGTTATTAATTATACTTCCGGAAACTGGAAAATACTAGTAGATAGGATTACTAATTGTTACCTGTACACAATGATAATGATAGAGGTGTTCCATTTCTGTCATCAAGTACAGAATGTGGAACAAAATAAGTCCCCGCGGTTATAAGGTTCAACTTCATAGAAATAGATAGACGGGGAATCGTAAAATATTGATAAATTATGAATATTTGAACAAGTTCATAAATATAAAGAGAAAAAAAATATCAAAGTATCTTTTACTCTTTATATAAAAAGGGGCTGCTTCTCGCAAGCAAAAATTAGTTTGAGCGTTTGTAACTATGACAAATAAAAATGGATTTAGGTATCACTGGACCAATCAAGGCGTGGGTTTTAATTAACAATTTGACGTGTTTATTAATCCGGATCTGGTGATCAACATGGGGTCGGTATGTTATAGTGGCCTCTACGCCAGCTACAACAGTGTATTAGAGATGTCGTTCTCTTTCCCACTGTTTCCAATTCTTGTCTCGTATTATTTGCTTGTAATTATTCATGACAATACAATATATACATCTACACCCAGTCAGTACCAGGTATAGGCCTTTTTATGACACGACAGATACCCCTAGCAACAAAAGCATCCCTACCGCCGCATCAGGAGATATACCTATAAATTTCTCATGAGGAAATCGACTTCTTAACCCAAACCCATCGATTGGTCCAAATAAACACAGCAGAAAGACTCTCGCGTTCACGCGTTGGTCATCCCGCGGAACACCTAGATACTGATTGTGTTTGAGTTTCATTGCTGGCAGTACTGTGACTAATCAAGATCGGAAACGAATGAGGTACTGAGATTACTAACTTTATATACAACCCACTTTAGTGGTGTTTGTAACTCGGCAGTACCTTATAATAAACAAGGATAAAACACTTCATCATTACTCTCTCCATAGATAAGCATCAAGGACACTGTTTTTAAAGTCGTCATGCTTAGTTTGATACAAGAATTGATTTCCTATGAGAGTCTAACAATGTAGTTTTATTTGTATATAAAATGTTCAAATACAATATCGCCGTACAAGACCAAGGACGAGACTGACAGGGGATGTAAAAAGGATTCTTTGCAAATCTGTGAAAGTATGAGTCTTACAAAGAAACCCTCTAAGGGTCTGCCGAAGAGCAGTGAAAAACTCTCTAAGGCATCCAGGAAGACCTCGAAAGGGTCATTGAATGATGTGAATTTGAAAAATGACTCGAAGGTTGGCCCGGTATTGACTAAACAATTCTCCAAAAGGTACATAAGTGGGGATTATGACACCGGATCTCAGAGAGGGAGTATAATAAGTCATGATACCGGAAGTGCTTCTGCCGAAACCGATATACCGGAAGCCTATGTAAGTATTCTAATGACGTCGTTGAATTAAGTCAATTATACCGTTTTGCCTTCTTTTCTAACTAAATTCGATCTTGATACTATCATTTTGACTTTTCTTCCATACTTAAATGACATTCACATATCGCTATTCATAACTTTTGTTTGTAATATACTGTGGACAAACAAATCCCGAGCTGCACATTCGACTCGTAAAGCACGGGTTAATTCTTGGAAAAGGTCGGTATCCACTGAAGTCAGATCTGTCATATTTTGTTTTCAAATACTGACAAGTATCACAAACATCGTAAGCAGAGTATACTCATGTAAATAACCGATCTGACGTTTCTGTCTGGTCACGCTATAGTTTAGATGTTGTATACATTGGGAACTGAACAAAGCCTATGAATACCTTCTCATTACAGTTATAAACAATATTTATCCTTCGTATGATAGAGAAATAAGGTATATCATAATCAGTTATTATGAGCATTCATTCCTATAATAAACATGTTGCACTATTTACAACATTTTTGGCAGTTACCGAGTTATTGCAATAATACAGTTATAAATAACGCGGTAGTGACAAAGGTTGGCCTATCTTTATCACTGGTCCTCTTTCTGTAGGTCTCCGGCTCTAGGCCTACGTGGGGCATTCTCCAGTTTCTTTCCCAACCATCCAAACATGGAACGTCAAATGTGTAATAATCTGAAAAAGAAATCAAGCAACAAGTTTACCCCAGCCGATGATAAAATATCCATAGAATTATTGAGTTCTGTGATGTCATCATATTAGACACAACGTAATGAATATATCAATTCATATAGTACATTATATCATTAGAAACAAATGACTGGATATTCAGTGGATTACAATCACGTCAAAGACGAGTTCTAGAAAAAAGATACTAGGACAGTAGAAATTACTCAACAAAGGAGCCAAACAGACAAGCAGAAATATCCTCAAAATAGGACGGAAACAAATTGTATTGGCACACATTCCTGTGTTTACTTTTTCTATCTTTGTTGCATTTAAAATCATAAGTACTAAACCAAACACCTTTTTCTTCCATTATGGACAACGTTTCCGCTTGAGGTGTTTGAACCATAGCTGTCGCCAAGGTGACGATGAAATATGAATAGCTTTTTATGTGGTAGATCGTACATACGTTACGGTTTGTTATATATAATTTAAGGAGAGTATTACCTTGGCAGCTACACGTCTGCCTACGTGAACCTACTCTACGTGTTTTTATACATCTCATTGATCAAGTGATCAATTAATCACTGTACCCATTCTCCCGTTATCAGTAAAATCAGGCACATCACTCTGTCAGAAAGTGGTGTCATATAAGTGTATACAACAGGTGATATTTTAAGCTTCAGTAACAAAAGTGTATCAATTAAACATGGTTACGTAAGAGTGATCTTAATTATTGTGGAGCTTTAAAACACTGAATTTCACCTTACATTTTTGATCAATATATATATATGTATTTTGTATGAGCCTAAACAGAAGGTTGAAGTTTCGGAGGTCCTGTGTTCGAATCTCGATGTTGTGGCTCAGTTATAAACAAATTCTTGTTTCACAATAACGCAAGTTCGTAATAAGAACTTTTCTATGATTACCGTATTTAAAGGTCTTCACTTCAATATTCAAAGTATATACAATTAGATACAATATCTCCATCTACTGGAATTTCCATATTTAGTACGTACGACGAGATCCCGGCCAAGTTTTGAGTGGAAGAGTACATAATTATCCATGAACATAATATTGGATAATAAGCCGAAAAAATTAATGTCGGATACTCTTATGTCGGATACTCTTGGGATGACTTGGCACTTGCTACTCATCTACATCTTTATCAAGAACTACAATCATACAGTGCATGAATTAAAATAAAAATCGATATCATAAATATGTTATGTTATAGAAATAACTTTAATATGGAATAAATGTTTTTGTAACATATTTTCATACCCGAAGAAAAACATTATCATAGAAAACTGTCTTACACATTTACATTGTATGCCAGAGATGGAGATGTTTTAGGCTATGGTGTAGTACCGATGGAATTTCAGTGGTAACCATGGTAATCTAGTACAAGAAATCATGTTGTACTGCCTTATCAATCAACGATTAAGACTTGATTACATCATTTTTTATATTTCAAAAAAGAATACACATATTTATATTATTTTTAAGCAAAAGACAGCTCAGAGACTTGATTGTCAGAGTACGGGTATTTGGTTGCTGTGTCCCCGCGAACTACCATAATAAGTTCACGAAAGTGGGAAGTAGCGAAACACCAACACGAATGTCATGTAACATGTAGAAGTTTAATCTCAATTCATTTCAGTTACTTCTGTACCTCAATGATGGTTGGCTATACAAATTGTCCGTGGTCCTCCCGTCGTTTGTTCATTCTTGTGAAATACTTAATGGGTCTTTCTATAATTTCATCCCAAGGTTTCCCTTGGTCCTTTGTTGTAACGTTTAAATTATGAAACAGATTAGAAAATCAAATTATAACATGACTGACATCGATTTTTTGGACTTCTCGAAAATTATTGAATGGATTTTTCTCAAATTATTAACGTTGGTCTCTAGTTGTGTCTTTTTGCCTTTGAAACTGATCAGATAAAAAAGATGGCTGACAAACGGCCATTTTGGATTTAGCAATGAAAGCTTTTTATCGTTAATTTTGATTGTGGAACTGATTAAAAAACCAAATTGACTGCCATGCAGCCATCTTGGATTTGACACATAAAAAGTATCGTTCTATTTATTCAGTGGACTTTACAAATTTTATAATTAAGAACAGAAGAACGAAAAGAACAATAGAGAAAATATCTAACTTTTAAAGAACAAATACATACCAAACAATGGTGACTTAGAAATCCATCTGTGACCTCTTTACCATGGTTCCGGCTGTGTTGGTGTCTCATCTGTTCTGACGATTTTGACCTTTGTTTTGGTGTCTCCAATGTTCCTGCTGTCTTCATTCTTGGTATTGGTGTCTCGTGGGTCTTGCAGACTTGAATTTTATTTTGTTGTCTCCTGAATCTCGACCGGTGGAGGAGACGACGACAGAATATACCTGATGTGTATCACACCATGTCATAAGACACAACTGATCGTGGGGCCATCTTTGCAGATACGGGAAAAGCTTCTCGAGTGCTTTCTGTTTAGGGAAAATCTGAATCCGGGAACAGGCCAGGGATTGTATTGTGAATGTCTATACCTTTAGATATTTCACGTCTTCTTTCAAGAAACGTTTCTTAAAGAAGTTATTTCTATATGTGTATTTAACGATTACTTTTGCGTTTTCCTCCAAGTGTCGTACAGAACTTTCAGTCGTCGAGAAAGTCGAAGAGTGCGGTAACACAGGGTAAAAATTATCTTGTACAATACTAATGGCCAATGTTTTATAAAACCTTAAGACAAAAATGAAATATGAAGATCGAATCACGTGAATTTTAGTTCCAGTTGTCAGTATTGTAGGAGGTATTGGACATGAAACACACCTTTGTAACTAAGTAAGACCCCTCTTTGTTTCGTTTTCGTTTTCTTTCAATGCCTTATGTATCAAAGGGCTTATCAGATTCGTTACCAGAGAGCTTGCCAAGTCCTGAAACTTCACTTAGATATACAGTGTACCTGTATCTAAACAAACAGGAGTTTACCGTTTTTCTCATTATATCGGGTACCTGCCCTAACAATGAAATGAAAGATTAAAAAAAAAAATTTAAAAAAAAATAAATTAAAAAAAAAGCATGATAGGTTACTACTTGATTTATACCTATATGTTGTTTTAAGCATAAACGTATTGATGCTTTTATTATGAAATTCCAGTTTCCTAATTGTAACATTCCCTCTCCACAACAAATGTTTACATATCCTAGTGGCCATGTGTCACGCACCTGATCCTTATATCACACTTTCAATAACATATATTGACAAGTGATGGGCCAAGCTAGTTCTTTATTTCATCTGACGCAATGGACGTATATAAGTCATAAATTACTACAGGTGATTGCTAATTACCGGTATTGACTTTCTCCATGTATGCACGTGAATCTTCTCCAATCGACCATACAAAACTAGGGCAAATTACAATTTAAGTGACCAGGTTCATAATTACAGCGAATCACTCGACCGTAGAAGTTAAACAACTATTCTAATTCATATCTTCATTATTTATATGAAATAAGGACGAACCGATATTTAGCCCATACAAGTAGATTAATTTCACCATCTCGTTCCGCTTCGTCTTGCCAAGCCATAGTTTTACCTAATATTTACGCTTGGTGAATTCCATGATTGGTGTGACGAGGTTTCTAAGCAACGGGACGCAGGCTGCTTTGCCATGTCGAGGCATGTAACAACATGAGTGCGAACTTCGACTATTGTCCATGAGAACCGAACGGTTTGTCTGGAGAAGTAATTCCGGAAAGTATAAATCACAAAATGGCGAGTCGGGACCGCCAAATGGGGAGATATGTGGATGAAAATTTGCTACTTGAGAACTTGTCAGTGGTAAGTTGTCGAGTTTTTATAAAAAGAATTAAGATAATTTTTCATTTGAAAAGTATTTCTTTATCTTTCAAAATACGTGTATCTGTTAAAGGTTGTCTCAATATCTATTCAGTGTATATTACGAGATATGGCTATCAACATTTGATGTCATATGAATTTCTATGAACGATGTTTTACGTGTCTCTACACGTGCTTTTGACGCGCTATGCTCACATGCATTAGTTATTTTAGGATGATATGAATATCTACGTTTTACGAGACCCGATTATCTGTATATGTTGAAAATTCAACAAAATATGAATACTTCCGTATATACAATGTGTATGATGCTATGTGCGTCTTTATAAGTGGATGTGAAATCAAATCTACGATGGCAATTATACGGTGATAATTCATATTTGACGGGATATCAATCCCTATATATATAAAGAGAATACATGGTCAGTGTCTTCTCAGATATAAGCTGTATTTTGGCGGGG